AATTAAAATTAAAATAAATGGCAGAAAAATTTAAAAATCACACAACCAAACCCACCCCCCCCCCCCTCCCCCCGCAGCCGGCCATTGCGCACATCTTTTGTACCAAAAGTTTTTTTCCACTATGCACCGTTTTTGCAGCATTTTTGGCAAGGTTTTTTTCAAAATACTTTTTCATTTCCCAGCAAAATACATAGGAAAAAAAATTTTGTAACTCGATTTTGATCACTTTTTTTTTACGTTTGTGACCCCATAAAGTGGGATTATTCTGGCGGGGCCCATCGAACTGTACAACATATCGAAATAAAAAGGAGGACGCTGCTTTTTTGTTAGCGCTAACGCTCGAATTCTGTACTTTAAATTCGTATAGTCAGCTTTGCTATGTATCGTTTAAGTTGACAGATATAAGCAGTTTAAATGAGATTGCTCGAAACAACTCTTGATTAGTAATTAGAAGGAACAAAAGAATTTGATCTAAATGATGATTTTATAGTGCAGCTTTAGCTATACAGTTTAATTCCACTGATAAAAATTTTAAAAAAGGCTGAATAGACTACCTGACTAAACGATAAAAAAGACTTTGTAGAGGTGACGTGGACCACATTCAACAATTATTATACTACTATAATATCGTAACAATAAATATTTCATAGTTCGACTAATTCGTAGTAAAAAGAAGTGCAGCATACAAACTGAACTATTTACTCCTCAGCAGTGCAACAAAATTGTTTCTCTTATGAACAAGTAACAAATTAAGCCATCACCGATCGAATCAAGATATTATTTTCATTTTGCACAGTTATCTGATGAGAATGAATAATGATGCTTCAATGTACAAAGAAAAAACGATTAGGATGTTCATTCTGGCATCCAACATTATTAACATGAACAATATCAGATCTGGGTCATCATTATAAAACTTTGTTCGAGCCTAGACTACATAATGACTGAATTATGAGTTGTACAGAGAAAACGATATAAATTGAGATGTGAATATTCGTTTTTGTTTAATTTTCTCGATGTCAAATATTGTTATTACTTGTTGTGTCCAAACGAAAATTGTTTTTTTTTGTTTGGTCGTTAAGTTTATCTTCGTCTTCGATGTTAACTTTACTTAATATTATATCTTTCTTTCTCTTTTTCTCGTCAAACTACACGCGATACGGACAGTCTAGATAATCTTTCGATTTTAACGAACGACTCAGAGAAGTAAATACATGTCACTTAATCAACTGAGCAATTAATTTTTATGTATACAATGGCATCATAAATTTAGATCACAAAGTCAATATTGACAATAAAATCGGTCAGGTAACATCCTTACTATATGAAATAGTAGATGAACAAAAATAAAAAAACATAAGTAACAAAAAGTGTATAAGAGAAAAAAAATAAGGGTCAATTTAAAAGATGGACGATGAGACGGAAGATATATGCAAATTGATAATTTAAGAATGCCATTAGCGTACAACTAATGAGAGATGATGTTGAATTCCATTATTATCATTGTTGTCGTATTATTTATTCAATGTATTTATTGTATTCCGAATAATAATCTTCTACAGACACAAAAACTTAATCATGCTGTTAATAATATACAGAATAGTAATGTGCCAGTATCAAAAATGGATAATGGTGCTATATCATCATTTACCAACACAATGTCATTAGATCCAAAACATGAATTAATGACAGAAATTGCTCAAAGGTATGTTTTATGTTACGTTTCATATAGAAAACATCGAACCGATAAACTATGAAAAATATATTAGCTCAATTCTAATTGATAAATACATCTGACGAATCAGTAATCATATTTTTAATTTTGTACTGTAAAATCAATTTATTTTTACTAAGCGTAAACAAAAATTGAACACAGTTACAATAAGGGATAATTGTTTAAACTTATTTTTAGTCTTTTACTTTATTAAAAAAGACATGATGTGATAGTTATTTTTTAAAATGTTTCTGTCTACATGTGAATTAGAAAATTGTTACTAATTAATTTTAATATAAACTATCAAGACACCTTATTTTTTCATATTTATTCTAACTATTCTTATCATTCTTTTTTTAGATATCGACTGGCAGCACGACGTTTAAGAGAAAGTCAATCAACTTTAATATTTGACATCGAATTTCCTGTTCATGATATATTAAAAGTAGATGCAACAACAAATGAAATTACATTTCGTGCAGCATTAACTCTGAATTATCAATTTGAATCAAATAGTATTCGGTAAGTGGTTATTGAATGAAATAATTGTATAATTAAAGTTTGTTTATGTTTTTTTTAGAGATAATAACGCATTACCGTATGAATTTTTAAGTTGGGATTCAAATAATACTCAAAGTCGTTATTATCAAATAGATGATATAACATTGACACCGGCAACATTAAATTCATTATGGTTACCTGAAATGAAATTTGATGATGAACGTGTTCAATTTAATGTTGAACGAGAAATAGCAAAAATTAATCGAGAAGGTCTTGTTCGATGGACGAGACGAGGTACATTTACAGTAGCTAGCATCATTGATCTTCAATATTATCCATTTGATAAACATTCAATTAATTTAAATTTACATAATACACAAAAATCTTTTAAATTACAATATCGTCGTTTATTTGCATCAGCGAATGGACAATTAAATGCTCGAACGAGCGTATGGAATACGTTGTTTGGCAGTATGACAGGAATAAAAAATAATGAAAATGAAACATCATCAACAACATCAGGAACAATAAATTATATAAAAACTTCATCAAGAGGATGGTTTATTACTAATATTCAAATTCAACCAAAAATTATTAATGAAAATTCATCAGTAGATGATTTATTATTATCATTATCTATTCAACGTCGTCGAGAAACACATATATTTACAATTATTGTACCATGTCTGTTTTTCTCATTTTTTATATTTATATTTTATTTTCAACCTGTTGAAGCTCATCAACGATTAATTATTGGTGTACTAAATTCACTAGCAACATTAACATTTTATCTTCATTTGGATTATAAAATAGAAGCACAACAATTAACAACATCTCCATTAATACTTCAATTTTTAACGATATTATTCATGATTGAAGCAATATCATTATTTTTTGATCATATTATTCATTCAATATTCTATGGTGGAATTAATTTTGTTTCACAATGGCTTAGACGTAATCGACATAAAAGTCGAAATTATGATACACAACACCCAGCAAGATTAAGTCGTGTAACCGTGTTATCTCGTGCATTAAATGAAAAATTACGTGGTAGCAATGTAAATGGTGGAAATGGAACAAATGGAAATCGAATGAGTTTAGAATATGGCGATACAACGTTGATAAATCATCATCAACAATCGACTGATGTTAATTCAATATTAAAACAATTATTTGAAAGAGAAGAAAATTTAAAATTAGAAGATAATGAACGTTATCAATGGCGAAAACGTGCAAGACTTAGTGAATGTTTGTGTTGTTGGTTTTTCTTTGCCATCGTTATTGCAGCAGCTATATGCGTTTTTGCCGTTATACCATCGATTGGTATCAAAAAATTTTGACACTAGACTAAATAACGAGAGTAACGAAAAACTTTAAATTAGACTATAATTAAATTATTAGAGAGGATAAAATTAATAAATTGTACAATATAAAAATTGAAAATTAATGAGACATCAAACTCATTCCTTTAGCTATTTTCTCACTAACACATATTCTTTCACACATTTCACCACTTTTCTATGAACAAAAAAAAACATACTGATTGCATGGTATTACATTCAAAATAATCGATGAGAAGATGATTAAGGTACTTTTATGCTTAAGTATCCTCCTCCGTTCTCATCTCACATTCTTTAATAGATATTGAAACTCCATTTGTATAGACAATGTAAATAGTATAATATCCAAGTACACTAAACATACAACATTCAAAAGCTATCTATCTATATTCCGATTGATTATTATATTGCACAAAATAAATAAAAGAAGCAAAATAAACACAGGATTATCATTTGATTTTGCCTTGAAAGAAAAATATTTTCACAATGTTCATACTATACACCATCTTTATTTTGTTTTTGACATAAATGGACTACTATAATTGTTGATTCATAATCATAAACATCAATTTACTTTCGTTAAAACTAATCTTATTCTCGCTCGTGCTCTAGAAGTACATAATATAGGACTTGAATGACAAATGATTATGCTTCAACATATTCATCAATCTTCTACTATCATCCAAAAAAAGATATGATCTCTATGGTTACTAAACTACGATATAATTTTATCATAAAATTTAAACCTAACAATGTTTGTTCTAAATCACTTGTACCTAAATTAAAATCATTCACGAAATTGATTATTTTTTGTCAAGTAGTGACAACTGTTATATGCGTGTGATTCGTTTCAAACTTAGATACGCCTTAAAATCACAGATGAGCAAATTCAAGTCACGATTTGGACCCAAGTCGCGTTTTTTCTATGACTCATACACAAACTCGGGCTCGAAAAGAAAGACTCCATAAGCCTCGAGTTACTTTTGAGTTAGTCATGTGAAACTGTTTTATACAGAAAGAGAGAGATGTAAGTATATTCTAAGAACATCTTCTCGCATCGGAAGACTGAAGTAGAAACTTGCACAGGTTAAGAAAACATCACCGGAACTCAACTCAATTCTATGATCACTTCGGATAGGTCTCTATTGTTCTGAAATAAATATTTCTGAAAGTGAATAAGTATTAACTGAACAGTGACTCAAGCAGTAGCTCTTCATTTCAACTCAAAGAATAATGCAAAAATGAAATTATCATCTATTCTTTGAACTACGTTGTAAAGGTTCACCTCGACTCGATAACAGCTCAATTCGAACGGGTAGGATCGGGCTCGTTTTGGATTACAGGGCTCTAGATTGAAGAACGAGGCCGAAAAAGTGATGAGTTGACCATTTATTACTAATAACAATTGTTCAAATCACATTTTGGAAATAATGTATAATATTCTCCACTATCGATAAAACCCGATGTTTTACACATAAACATATGGCTCATCCATCCGTTCATGCGAACGTTGTTGTCGGCGAATAAAATTATAAAAAGTCAATTTATTTTGTTAAAAATAACTTGCCTAGTTTTTATTCACATAACAAAAACGAGATATATGTTGTCGAAGAGTCAAAAAAACCGCAAGAATACAATAATGAGTATGCACAGAAAACGTGTGCAGTATTACATTAAGAAAAAGAAGATTAAATCGATTGTTTTGACTAGCTCAGTTAAAAAACGTATGATTTTTACTAGACTAAATCAATTCTCGTGGAACAGAATGAAATACAAATAAAACAATGATAACACACAAAATAGACAAAGACAGAAAATGATCAAGGTGCATTTATCACGTTATAACCTACCTGTCTTCTTTTCATTTCTAAAATAGTAGACATTACTTATTTTCGATATGTTTTTCAAATTCTTTCAATAGTAATTGTTTATAGGCTAAATATTTTCGTTTTATATCATTGATCGAATCAATTTCTTCATTTGTAAATTTTTCAATAAACGCTTTTAACATTGTTTCTGGTAATAAAAGATAATTCGATACTTCGATTGGTACCGTTTGACTTCGCCCTTTTTCCATAATATAAAATTGAGTGTCATTAAAAGGTCCGGATAATATTCGTAATAATAGAGGAAAATCATCATCATTTAATTCAAAAATATTACCATTTAATTTTTCAACTTTATATAATGAAAATAAACTTGAGTTTGTTTCAATATAATGTTTTTCAAATAGAGTGTGTATAGCTTCGATGGATGTTGTGCTACTACTGATATAAATAGTGGTCATACTATCTGTTGCTGGAATAAATGATCTTGACTGAAAATAGATGAGTGAGGATCTCACATCAATATAAATGAATTCTATCACTTTTTCTTACCTCCTCGTCATCATTGGTCGACATAAAAGTAGGAAACAATATTCCATATGTTTTTCGTCGACTAGAAGGTAGTTTAATTGTTTGACTACGCCTTAAATTCATATCATCCAATGATAATCGTGTTAATAATGCAATATCATCAAAACTTGGACTTTTAAATGGCGAATCGAGATTCTAGAATAAATAAAACATACACAATAATTTTATAAAAATAAATAAAATTAAAAATACCTTTTGTTGAAAATTTTCCATATCACTTGTTTCATTACTCTTTAATTCTTGATGATTTAAATCAAAGATTCCTATTGATTTTGGATACAAACCTTTAATAAAAAAATTCATTTTAAATATAGAATCGATGAAAAAATAAAATATGCTTACCTAGTGGAATTGATCGTCCGGATTTTAGTTGAATTTGAGAATGAATATTCCAGTAAATTCTTATTGATCCACAAACAATCATTTTTCCATCTTCCTATTATCAAACGAAATATCTGATCACTTAACATTGAACTTATTCTTACGATAATGATACCTCTTTAATCTTTAAATGTGATGATTTTCTATCGTTGTATTCGTTGTAGAGTTGCACACGTTCCGGAAAGGACCTAGTTGAAAATTATAATTTTATACAAGAAAATTTGACAGAAAATTAAATATTTTCTTTACTTCATTGATCGATAACGATTAATATTGTTGTTTGTATTTGTTTTTAATGATAGAGATATTTCGGATAAAATTGATAAATTACTAGTGATTGCCGTCAATCCACTACTCAACGAGGAATTAAGTGAATCATTTATATCAGAATAATTAATTACATGACGAAGATCATAGCAACTATGGCAACAAATATCCTGATTATTCTGAAATAACACAAGAAAATTTGTTGATTTAATAAAATGTTATGAACGTTTATAATACTTTTTTATATGCATCATCATCAATAACTTTCTTGCAATCTTTGCATCGAATACAATCAGAATGTAAGGCAATTCCAGATACAATTCGACAATCGTCTATAATAGAAAATATTTATTGTATAATATTTTAACCATCAATAGTAATGAATACGTTCTCGTTTTGAAACATTATTAAAAAATAAAAATATTAAAACGAAAAATCTTACGAAATGACACTGGTTTTTGACATATCCCACATTCACTCATTTTATGATAATAGACAGAAATTGGCTGTGTTTTTACCCTATCATTGATATACATTTCATGCATAGATGTTGTAGAACATTTCATGTAGAAATGTACATTATACTATGAATTCAACATAAAAATATCGAAGAAAAACTAGAATGAAAATAATATGCCAATAAGGTATTAGAATTTATTAAATAAATCCACAAAAAGACACTAGCCAAGCAAACACGAAGCAAAGCAAAAGGCTAAAACTTTAATTTCAAATTCAAAGCAAATAGAATGCACAATTCATAATATGAAAAAGCAACGCAATAAAGCCATTAATATAATCTTTAGTTAGTTGAGCAGTAAACGATTAAAAGCCATTATCAGACGAAATTCAAATTTTTTGAAAAACAAAAGAGCACAATTAAACAGAATTTTTCTTATAGAAAGTCTATTACTAAGTAGATGCCAAGGAAGATGAAACCCATAGTATGCACTGCGCTAGTGTTAAAATTGAGCACCATCTCTTTATCAACAGATCAAACGTTTCTTTCATTAGCAGTGCTCACTATAATAATTTCCATAGTGTAGACAAAATATGTTCAAGCAAGAGATGAGATCATTGATTCACACAGCCACTTGAGCACAGAACAATCAATTCTAAGTAATTCCTTGACGACTGTAGTAGCACAAGAATTATGGAATCTAAGCTCTTTTAAATGCTGCTTACAAGACTATTTATCTTTGTTTTGAGGTTACAGTATTTTGAATTTGTTATAAGAATAATGATTGATTAATGAAATAACGTGAATATACCGAAGCGTTGAATGTTGATACATATGTTGTCAATCTTCTGACAAATCCCTTTACAACGCTACTCGATTCGTCAATCTAAGATATTTTATTCAATCTTTTAATCAAACAATCACACTTCAAAATCTTTATCATATAGATATCTTACTAATGTTACAGTAAAAAAGCAAACATACTAAATCTACTGACACATTTCTCAGGGATAGAAAAATTCTTTTTTTCTCACTATAATACACACATACACACACACGCACGCACAAAAGAATAACTACCATTAAATTAATTTTCTATACATAACAAGATAAAAATATTGCCCAAAAACGAAGAGAAAAAAAATACAATAGTATCAAAATCTATTTGTACATTATTCTATCAGACATAGTTTATCTATCTATCTATCTAAGTTTTTCCACTTATTCCACTATCCGGGGAGCCATATCGTGTTGTTACTTTTTCATTTGAGATAAAATAGTTTTTTTGACAATCATTTATGGGATTAACTTTTGTATTATCACTTTTTCTATTACCAATACTAATGTTTATTGGCGAACCGACTTTATCACTATGATGTTCACCATTACTATATACGACTAAATTTTCATTAATACCATCGTTTTCATTTGTTGTAGATGAAACTGGACTTGTATGATGTTGTACAGATGGTGATTGAGGTGGAGATGATAATTGTGCTGATGTTAGCGGTTCTTGAAAGGAGTAACGTCGATCATTTCCTAGATATCGTCGATCATCTTTTACTTGAATTTTACCTAGGTCAGATAAACGTTGACTAAAATTAGTTGCATTCATTATTGGTTTTCGATTACGTGGTACATTAACTGTTGATGTTGATCGAGGAGAAAATGCTGTAGTTTTCTGCTTAATTTCATCACTTGATGATGTATCAGTTATTGATGACGATTGAGGGCTATGATTATTATTGGAACATAACGTCCAATTATGTTCATTAATAGGTTGCATTTGTTGTTGTGATCGATTTGTATGAGATTTAGATCGTGTTCGTTGCCGTCGATGATATGGTCGATGTTTTATTGACTGACTTCGACGAGTATTCGATACAGACGGAGAGTTACTTCTCCGTTCTCGATGTCTCTGATAAGATGGATTATTTTGAATTTGGAGCATACGTCGAGGTGTTGAACTTGTAATTGTTGATGGATTATCTGTATCATCGTCGTTATCATGTATCACAGACAGTTCTTCTTCAAAACTAAATAAATAGAAAAATATAACAAAATAACAAATATAAAATGGTTGATCTAAACTTCAGCATACCTGAATGAACGTGTGAGATATTGCCGATTTTGTTTTTGACTATTATAATAATTAATTGAGTGAGGACGACGAGTAGATCGTCTTTCTGACTGATGTTGATTATTAAAACGTGAAGAGCGTTGCTTATATTGTCTCATATCAATTTCATCAATCAAACCATAATCTCTTGTTACTATTTGCGCTTTATTAATGGCTAAACTAGGTGATGCCATTAAAGGAGCATTAAAAGCAAATGGCTGCAGATCTATATGTTGGTGTTCTTGTTCTTGTTGTTGAGGATTTTCAGCTCGACGACGAATACCATTGAAAAGACGAGAAAATATTGATTTTTGTTCATCTAAACATAAACAAAACAAACACGTGTGACAACATGAAATATATTTACACCTCTAACTAAATAAGTTAAACAACTTCATTTTTCGTACTCGAATGTAGTTTATGATCTTTTGTGACGAATTGTGTTTTTACATGTTTTGCTTGTTCACATGGTAATGTCATATAACCACCGTCTAAAAAATTTACACAAAAAACTTTTATTTTTTTGAAATCTTCTATTTAAATTCAAGCAAGACAAATTGAGAATGCTAACAAGAAAATATCTTAAATTTATGATTTTCAAAGAAAGATAGTTTTATCAATGTCTTGTTCTAACTCCTTACTTTTCAACATTAACTTCTTATCTTGTATCAATGTCCCAATGGTACTGTATAAAATATCATCTTGTGGCAACGGAAATTCGGGATAATTAACTTTTAAATTTGTTTTAATTTCATCCATCGATGCACAATGGCCTCTTTTATTCACTTCGTTTATGATGAGACATAATACATTTGGTAATGAAATCAATGGTTCCCGTTCGTGACGTTTCGCTTGAATATTGCTTAACTCGACTAAACAGAACAGTTGAAAATGAAAACAATCGAAAAAACTAAACATAAACTTGATAACTGTCCTGAAGAATAACTACCAGAAAGAATGTCACTTATTCTTGTGTCACTATGAATCTAGTTTTTATAGCTGCTAACACCGATAAACATTTATAGCTTTAGTCTTCGAAGTTAGAGAAGGTCACCCGTTGATATGCTGAATTAGTGGGGATTTTTTGATATGTATACACAAGATGAATTATAAATAATTTGATCTTCTTTTATCTTCATTGTGATATTATTATCCCAGATTGGCTGTTTTACTTTGCGTTGATTAAGTCAAATATGGAACTGTTAGTTTGTTGGGCGACTGTATCGCATGAGATCCTGTCGTATCGGTACTATATCGTTGTTTAATCAAATTTTAGCAGAAATTGGCTCCGCTGCGAATTACAGACTATACGGATACTTTCATTAAGTGAAACTGGAAAGATTTCTTACTTTTCACATACTTTTCTTATCCGATCCCGTCACTCATCATCCGTGATCGTACAGATTTGAAAAAAGATCGTAGATGGATCAGCATAAATTATTTTCTGCATACATACTTCATTTAACCTATGATGAGTTTCACAAAATGAGTGTATTTACAAAAACTCCGCTGTATTTCTTCTATGAGATAATTAATTTCGATACAGTCACGTGAAGCTTAATGATATAACAGTACCGTTTATTTAAAGAGTACAATGACTCATTAATTAGTCACGTGCCACTTATGAATATATACATGCATTTATCTCTTAAATATGAGCATACAATGAAACTAAAACTATACTGTTGAAACATATTTAGGACATGATTTATGAGTCTTCTACCAGCTATCCTACTACTATTTTTGAGAATTGTTTCATTCAGTCGACTTTGCAATCTTTGTATAGTATAGTTGATTTCTCATATTCTTATTATTCTGCTTTATTTGTGCTATGGATAGTTTATACGATCAGTCTAATATTGAACGCGAACATTTAGCATATCAACGGGTGACCTTCTCTAACTTCGAAGACTAAAGCTATAAATGTTTATCGGTGTTAGCAGCTATAAAAACTAGATTCATAGTGACACAAGAA